TTCAACATTTGCTAATGTACCTTTTGATTCTTTGACTTGCTTTGGGAAGGTTTCCCAGTCCGGCCACGAAGCTTCCGCTATCTCCACCCAGGCACGTTGCCTTATGCGCCTGTTTTTGTAATGCGCATGGCGCATGTCATAGATACATGGCCTTCCCTCCACCTGTCTAATAAAGGCCTCAGTATCAAGCATGGCACAATCCTCCATCTTTTCTTCTCCAACAGCTCTCTGGGGGAGTGGTCTTCTGTAGACATGTGTGGAACGCGCGTTCTATGCGCGATTTCAGTGATTTCGTCCGTTCCCGTCGAAGTCTATGGGCACTAACGCGCTACAAAACGGACCATTACGCAGCAAAAACGCTTCGGGACCTTTTCATGCGTGGGCCGTTTTGTAGTGCGTTCGGGACGGACGGAAATACGGACAGGTGGGAACTATACCATTGACTTCAATGCTTTTTACATTTTGGTCCGTTTTGTAGTGCGTTCATCGAGCGTAGGACGCACTACAAAACGGTCAGGTGTGAACCAGGCCTTACAGCCAGTAAGATTTCACCTATAACACCTCCCAACTGTCCCTCATTTGGAAGGGACTGTCCCTCTTTTGAAGCCAAATCGCTTTGTCCCTCTTTCCTGCTCAGATTTCCCTCCTTTTTTTGGTCCAATGTGCGCATGCTTAAAAATGTATTCCATAACTATCAAAAATGTTGTACTGCACTAAACTTTTCATTCAGCCTTTCAATGATTGCAATTGTTATTTTACAAGGCCAGTATGAGTGCCCATTCACACTGGGCTAGTGCATTGTAACTGCTCCAGTGGTGTGTGTTGTAGTGCACACTGCAGGAGCTGCCACTGTTTACATTTTTTTTAACTTTATGTGGAATGCACAATGTGTACACTCCATTAAGTTCACCACGTGGCAGAGCGCTGTGCGGCGCTGCTGTGCATCGATCTACGGTGACATGAAGTGAGCTGCAATACAATGCAGCATGTCTGCATCTTATCGCAGTGCACTGCCCACTGCATTGTAGTAACAATGGGACAATTGTTTTTCTATTTGTCCTAGATGTGACTTGCGTTGATCCATTGCGGTACAACGCAGGCCACTGCAATGTGTTAAAGGGCCCTATAAGAACATAAGTGTTGAAAAAAGCACTTGTGGGTTTAACTAACTAATTTTACATATTCGTTGTGATCCGTGAAATTTGGGGTGTGGAGTGTTTCCTTTGCCTACATACTTTCTACTATAAGGTGTCTCTCTCATCTCAGGAAGTTGGTAAGTATGCTTTCATTAGCCAAGAGCAGTCGGAGCACCAAAAGATAGTTTCCTGTTGGTGACTTTGAATCACTGCTTTATCATTGACAATATGTATTGAGCTCAGAACACTGTGGTGTAATTGGGTAATATCTGGGCCTGCTCTTATGAGAGTACTTTGTGTAATCCTCTGTGACAGGTCCTCTTAGAGCAGGCTTTTATTCAAATCCTTCTATCAGAGCTGAGTTAATATTCCACACTATAGTAAGCGTGCAGCTCCTTGCGACCTTTATTCCACAGCTGTGAGACGCACTCAGTGCCACCTCTCTTATCTCCGCTCTTATCAGCCATTGGTCCATAGTGCAGGACACTGAGCCATGGAAACACTAAAGTACCTAATTGAGACCAAACCTAATTATCACTGTTAATGGTTCATATATATGAAGGCCATTTACCTGCTTCTTATATCACCACCTTGTGCTCTGGTCACTATTACTATACTGTGCTCTTATCTGGTCTTTTGTGAAGCAGAACTACAGGCAAACATGTTCTTACAGCAGGGCTACCCCTACATGGCAAGGGTTAAGTGCTTGTTCTTGTCTAGGTGCTAAAAAAAAAAGCTATACTCACTCGATCCTCAAAGCCAGCTGGCTGCTACTTCGGTCCCTGTAGCCTGTTTACTCCTCCACTGCAGTGATGGTATGTCCCTCTGTGTTCTCCTGTCCGATACACTTTGTATAGAATGTGATGACTTGAGGATCCTTGGACCACTGCAGCGGAGGGGGACAGAGGCTCCAGGGACCAGTCTAGCAGCCGGCTGGCACGGAGGAGCAGGTGAGTATAACTTTTTTTTAGCACCTAGACAAAAATGAGCACATAACCCTTAAGAACATGTTTGCCCAGAGTTCTGCTTTAATAGAAATCGGTCATGAATAATATATTTCAAGAACACAAGTAAAACAGCTTTATCCAATATAAGTGGCCGGATCACAAGGTCACATGTGGCCGGATCACAAGGTCACATGTGTTAAAAGTGACTGGATCACTTTTAACACATGTGACCTTGTGATCCGGCCACTTGTATTAAATTGTGTTCTTGTAATCTGATTACGCTTATTATATTATGGTCTTGTGATCCAGTCGTTAATAACACATTGGGATTGATTTACAAAGGAATTGACTGTTTACATGGCAAAATAAATATTGGTTTTGCTTAGTAAATAAAGCTGTGTTCATTTTGAATGCCTGAACATGTGCACGGAAACATTGAAAACAAAAAGGATTAGGCCCTGTTCACACCTTTACGTTTTGTCGCGCGTTCAAGGCTCTATGAACGCTCTACAAAACGTACAAACATGAAAATCCCATTGTTTTCTATGGGTATGGTTCACACCTTTCCGTGTTTCCGCCCGTCTGAAACGCCCTACAAAACGGCCTACGCTCAAACAAGTACATGTACTTCTTTGGGCCGTTTTTGCTGGGCGTTTCCACGGCCATACAGCCAAGTAGCCCTCGGAAACGCGCGTTTGTCGCGCGCTTTTTTTTACCGCGCATCGCGGTAAAAAAAACGCGCGACAAATGCGCGACAGACGGGCATATTCAATACGCCTAGGTGTGAACCCAGCCTTACTGTTTGCATGTGATTCAATGATTTCAAATGAAATGTGCACAGCTTTGCCTTTTTCTCTTGCTTCCTTTAGTAAATCATTCTATCGTGGGGGACTAGCTGCACTGCGATTGGAGATTATTTAGAAGAACTCCGGGCAAATAAAAAAACCTAAGAGCTTTTTTTAGTCTAGAGGAGGGGTAGGCAACCTCGGCACCCCAGCTGTGCCTTTGACATCCACAATGCCATCATGCCTTTGATAGCCACAGCCTGGCATCACTCCTAAAGGCAGAATCCTGCAACACCTCATGGGACTTGAAGTCCGATAACAACTGGAGAGCCGAGGTTGTCTACCCCTGGTCTTGTGGCTGGAATAAAGCTGTTTGACTTACCTGCTCATGCAGCAGTCAGTGCTATCCTCTCTCTCCAATCCGCTCTAGCTATGAAATGTCCCTCAGTGTCCTCAAGTCTAATGCAGGTCAATGGACCTGCATAAGATGGGATGGCGTCAGTGGTCCTTTAACCGCCGGGGTCCAGGGGAGAAAAGGCTGTAAGCGCCAGTCTAGCAACCCAGAGAAAAACCAGGATCAGGTGAGTAATACAACTCTATTCCAGCACCTAGACCAAAATGAACACTTAAAGTGATATTAAAGTCAAAGGGGGGAATTTATCAAAACGGGAGCAAACGAAATCTGGAGCAGGGCAACCAATCAGCTTCTCTCTTCAGTTTGTTCAGTTATTATTTGAAAATAAAAGATAGAAGCTGATTGGTTGCCATGCACAGCTGCTCCAGATTTAGTTTGCTCTAGTTTTGATAAATTCCCCACAAAATGTTTTTAAGCTATTTCAAATGCTGATTAAATGTTTCAAAGTTTTAGCTTCCTACAGAATCAGCCGGTCTCCTGAGCACTGGCCCTGAAATCCAGTTTTAGGGTGGTTCCTTTCTCTTGCAGGGTCCTATGGAGCCACCTTATTTGTGCTGGTAAACTGTGTGTGTCCACTCACCTGCTCACCGCTCCTCCTTCCTCCCTTCTGAAAGCTAGTAGATAGGCTGCTCTGTCCCTTGTAATTGTGTACTGGACAGGAAGTTTAGGGAAGTTGAGCTGAGAGAGTTGGAGATGTTACATGATGACTGTAAGTGCTTGGATGAAAAAGTAAAGAAATACTTTGCTGGGTAAAATATAGGAGGTATATTTGATCTGGATTCATTATTAAAAAAAAGAGTTTAATACTCTTGAAGTGTGGGGGTAGACCCACTATAAAGGTAAGTTTTTTTTTTATTTGCCTGAAGTTCTTTTTTATGGACGCATTCGCACCATGTGTTTGTTGTGTAGGGGCGGAGCTTTGCACTGTTACAATGTAAGGCACTAGTTACGTTTTGTATACACGCTATTGAAATGTCACATTTTGTTCACTTCTATGCACCGGTTCTGAGACAAGAAATAAAGCATGTCTGCATTTTTACACAACGCACCGTAAGGGCTTGTTCGCTAAGAAACTCCCCCCCGCATTCTGGGGCGGTGCATTGAATTAAATGGCAGCGCTTCCACGCCCCCCCAGCCCGCAGTGCGATCGGACGCGTGGCAAAACCTTGCCAGCGTTGCGTTCCACTGCAAACGCAAAAATTAGAGCAAGCCCTATTTTTTGCGTTTGCGGTGGAACGGAACGCTGGCAAAGTCTTGACACGCGTCCGATCGCACTGCGGGCGAGGGGCCGTGGAATCGGTGCCATTAAATTGAATGCACCGCCACGCCCCCTCCCGCCCCAGAACGCAGGGAGAAGTTTCTTAGCGATCGCGTTGTGTTCCAGCAGCTACCGCTCTGGAACGCGCAAGCTTTCGGTGTGAACAAGGCCTAAACCACATTAACGCAGTGTTAGGAAAACAATTGTGCTCTGGCTGAGTCTGCGCACATCAACTGATTGAGTCCTAACAGTCACTTTGTAAAAGGCTGAGTTTTCCCTGCACATGATTGGTTTATTTACAGCAAACACAGCTTCAGCTTCATTCACTTATATCACTCTTCAAAGTGAACATATCCCACTGCTAGGAAGTCAACCAGAAATGGGGCGTGTCCAGAACCGTGACGTGTGATAGGGGCGGTCCTCCGCAAGGCGTGGCTGTGTCCTAAGTGTATGTTTGTTATGAGCGGACTGGAGAATTTAAAGACCGTTCAGGAGGAATCTGCGGAGTTGGTCTCCTCCAGCGCTCACAGAACTATGGCCGACAATCGGGACCCGGAGCTGAAGCAGCGCAGAACCGCAGACAGCGCCTTGAGTAAGAACTGGTTGCTATTGTGGTCCCCACCCCCTTCCAAGGACGACTGTCTGTAGTGTCATCCGTACAAGGACTGGCGACCATCATACAGAATTAGGGCTGACACTATATATAGAAGACATTAGATAATGGTCTGGAGGATTTGGATCGTTTATCTCAGGATGGCTGTAGTTTTACCAGAAAATCCATCTGTAGAGATTGTTCTAATTCCTTTCACATGCTTATTTTTCCATCAGATGGTAAATGAATGTGCAGTAGGCATGTGACATCCTGTGTGTGGATACTTGGTATTGTCTGCCAGTGTCTGGTGTCTTTATGACATACAGCCTTTTAATCAGAAATGATTATTACTGTATAGGAAATGATTGCCCCATCTTAGGTCTGCTGTTTGCTGTATTAAGTACACACAGGCAGAAGTTCGCAACAAAAGATCAAAAAATCGGTTATCAGTTGAGTTTGAAATTAAGCTCTCCATACACTGTTAGAATTTAGGCCGATTTCTGCAAATCAGATGACATTCTATGGGTGGCCCTGCCATCAACAGCCAGTTTGATTTACTTTGAGAAGTCGAAAGAGCCAGGAGGAAAACAGTTGGCAAAACAGTGACTTCAACCAATCTGCTTCAGTTACTGCTGGGGTATTCTGACAGCTGCAGGTTGTCAAAAAGCAATAGCCTGTGGGATGGCAAGCTTTATCCCTTTCCCAAACACTATTTGACCCTATTTATTGTACCGAAATTTGCCATCATACTGGACAATGTCTCCCAACTTATGCCTGTGCCAAAACTGGCCTCTTCATCTCTTCTCATCAATTGTTTGTGAAATTCTCAAAAT